TAATAATCCCTCTTAGTAAAGTTATTATACTAATAGACTATCTTACCTAAGATAAAGTAGTATATTATATAGATATTATTAGAAGTTAAAGCTATAGATATAACCTACTTAGACTTCCTTTAGTAGATACTTCTTAATTAATAATAATAAATATTAGATTTTTTTTATTTTTTTTAGCTTACTTATACACCCTAGGCTATTCCTAATAATAGTCTAAGAACTTTAAGAATAGTCTTATAACTTAGAATAAAGACTATTACTTACTTTTCCTTATAATCTAGTTTTTCTATTACTTTCTTAATTTACTATTCCTAGATTACTAGAGATATTTCTTTTTTTTGGTTTTTCTTTAACTTCATAGGGATGTGTCATAGATACACTATATATATCTAGTATTATGTATATTTAAGGTTGCTTATCTAACCTTTTAATAGTACTATAGTGATAATAAACAACTATCTTCCCTAAGCATACCATCTCATGTATAGCATGCGCTACCAATTACTATACTTAAGGGCTTTAGAGATTCCTCTAGTATACTAGCTAGTAGGTATATTTATATAACCTAAAAAAATAATAAATTACTCTCTTACTAGTATAGCTATACTAACTTCTATTATCTAGATATTAGGATTATTAGTTATTAGTTAAGATTATAATTAAAGGCCTTATATTAGGGATACTCTTAATAAAAATTATTTTTACTTAGTAATATATATAAAAAGTACTCTTATTAGACTATCTTAACTAATAGAGTAATTAGAACTATAAGAGTACCTAGGGAATACTCTTAATTAAATAATAGATAGTATAGTAGTAGTAGTAATACCTTTATTAATAAATTAATTACTAAGGTATAAGATACTTACCCCTTAATAAGTAATAATATCTCTATAAGTCATATACTACCTATATAACCCATATAGTTTACTATATACAGGCTCACTATGCCTAATAGTTTCTACCATATCTAATAAAGATATAACTATTAAAATATTTATATATAAGATAATAATAATCTATAATCTCCTTCTATAGGCTTCTGCAGGCCTTCATATATTATATAGGTAAGATATACTATGATGCATAGCCTAAGATATCATAATATCAATTCTAACTGATTACAGTAGGGGGGTGTGTCCCTAAGTTGGGGGGATGTCTCCCTAAGTTGGGGGTGTGTGTCCCTAATGATTTCTAATAATTAATTAACTAGTACTTTCTCCTCTAGTAGCTATTTACTTTTCCTAATCCTTTATTAGATTAATTAGATATTAATTTATTTAAGATTAAATATATTTAAGAACTATAGCCCTTCTATCTATAATTAAAATAAGCTTAGTATTTTTAATACTAGAGTTTTTACTTATATATCCCTTTCTTTAGATAATTAGGTATGTATATCTAAGGAAGAAGGTGTGTATATAAGGAGAAGGGATGTGTATATAAGGAGAGGGGGTATATATCAAAGGAGAGGGGGTATATATCTAAGGAAGGGGGATGTATGTGTAACAATCATCAAGTTTATGCTACTTATGCCATTTATGCCATTTTATCATTTTGAATACCACCTCTAAAGGCTACATAGTATAGTAGTACACAATTATATCTTAAGGTACTCCGTAGTGGTTAAGGCTTTGGCCTGGAGATGACAGGGTCTATTTTGACTTTGAGGCAATCCCAACTTTTATCCCAGCCAATTATGATGAAGGATGGCATCAATGTCCCACATCCTGTCGTCATGTGGCATAGGCCATTGATCATTCCACCCCACCACTCTAGTCATAGGAACTGTTTTGGTTCCTGTTGATGCCTAAAATCATTAATAAGAATCACAAGAGACATAAGATATTTTATATCCCAGCACTCCTGGATTGATTATTCATATCTTCTCCATCCCCATTCTTACTCCCCCTAAAGGCTGCCCATTAGATGTCAGCATACACTGTCTTAAGAGTAGCACATGACTGGATCACTGCACACGCCCCCGCAATTATATCTATTACTGCCCTGTGATGACACTATCTACTGACAAGCTAAATCTAAGCCATCACCGCACTGACTCATAGTCTGTTCTTCTTAAGTTTCAGTTTGGAAAATACCCAAGACCATCAACTCATTCGTCAACCAGGCTCATCACACCCCCTCCTCCTCATACAGCATCGAACTATCAGACCTTCAGTCATATTTAATAAGGGAGGACCGAGTCTCAAGTACTTGGTGGCTGGGCGTGTTGTTGCTCTCACCTTTGAGTCATATCTGCCCATTGCCACCATAGACAAAGAAAGCAGCCCTGACAAATCACCTCTCACGTGTGTTTTGCCAACATTAGGTTGACAGTCACCTTTCCATTGACTTCTACTAACAACTCTCCCATCAGCCTTCATCATCAATTGCCTTCTGAGGCATCATATCTCAAACAAACCCCAAATCATATCTATATCACTATATCTCTCACTTCCCACTTTAACCCAGCTCGTTTCTGCTCTCCTCGCTGAGTCCCAGCTTCATCAATAGAATGAACCCATATACCCCCCCAACGCCATTGGACCAAAATCATAACCTCGCCATGAGTCGCCTACCGTCTGTTTCCAGTCTCATGTCACCTCCTGAATCCAAACCTTTTGAGAATTTCAACACCTCATTGTCGCCTTACACAACGTCACAGGATTATTGCTCGTTTGCCCATGACATGAAACTCCCTCCCATTTCTAGCGAACGGAAGCGAACGCAGTCAGAAATGGATTTGCCATCGCCTCCCGTCACCCCATACACTGGGAACAAGAAAAGGAGATCGGATGTTGCAGAGGAAATTGAGCGAGATGTTGTGCTCAGTTCTTCTAGAGATCCTGTTCTGTTCCCTCATCACGATTCTTTAACAGATGTTGCCACTGATGAGCCCCTGTTTGGGCAGATTCTTCCGCCCCCAGCAGAGGTTCTAATGGAACAACATATCGATTCTCACATGGCAAGATTTGATAACAAAGTGAATAAGCCAACACGGGATGAGTATCTCTTAGCGCTGTCCTGTGTGCCAGTTGTCTCCGCCCAGTATAACCGGAATCCTGCTGCCTGGGCCAAGGAGGAACGTGAAACACTTGAGCGTCAATTGTTCATGATGAATCGTTGCCGACCTAAAATTTTAGATGCAAAATTAAAGAAGATTGCGCCCGCACCCAGCAAACGGGCGGTTGCTACACAGCCTCGCGCACAGCGAACACCGCGGGCCAAGCGTTCCCCCAAATCTACGCCGCATCAAAAGGCACATGAATCCTTTGACTTACCTGCTCCGACGAGTACTAGGCCTCCCAGGGGCATAGGAACAAATCGGGATGACACAGATTATACTTCCATCATGGATTTTTCACCCTCGCCAGAAACACTTGGCGGCAATGCCAAGGCATTAAAGGCAGACTGGAAAGGACAAATGTTAGATCTTGGTCAGGATCCAGATCGGCACCTTTTGAGCCCGGCTGAGCTCAGCCTTGCCTCCACCCTGAGGCTCTCATGCGCAACATACTTATGCAGCAAACGCCGCATCTTCGAGGCCCGTGTGAGAGCTTTAAGGATTGGCAAAGAGTTCCGCAAAACGGATGCCCAACAAGCTTGCAAGATTGATGTCAACAAAGCGAGCAAGTTGTGGACAGCTTATGATCGTGTTGGCTGGTTCGACTCTGAACACTTTCAACAGTATTTAGAGTGACCTTAGCAATTGGTGGTTTTTCATTGGTGGAGAATACGCATACCTTGCTGTGTTGCGATTAATGTTATTTTTAGCTTTATTCCGTGGGAGTTGGACTTGGATCAGGTTACTTAATAGTTCATCGATGGCTATAGCCCCTGCTGCACATCAGTCTGTTTTGAATGGGGCGAGTTCTTTCCCTTCCATGTCAGAATATAGCCTCCCTTTGCATTTTGGACTTTTTTTAGTTCATCATTATGTCCTTTTTGCCGTCAGAACTGCACGGCTGGACCGTGCATTGCCTAATCCCCTTATAAATACTAAGTTCAGATATATATAGACTCCACTTGTCATTCGCAGGTCCCTTGTCTACCTTACTTATCCACCTAGCTAGGCCTTAGTAACTATGGTACAGCTTGATTCAGGCTTGAGCCCACTCTCTTTCGTCAATCCCGGCATGCTTGATCTTCGACAGGCTGTTATTTGACCAAATCAGCCTTCTACCCTAAAGGCTGTCAGCATGTCCCGTCAAGAATATCTCTCATACGCGTACACTGGAGGTACAATTTCTACGCATAGACCCAGTATCTGATTGTAATCAGAGCAGGTTCCCAGAGTCAGTGGACAGCCTGAAAGGACAGCCTGAAAGGGTGTACTTGATTAATGCGTAAAAACTAATAGCTCGCTCAATAGAAGATCGATTGATATTTCTCATATGGAGCTTCTAGATGGACCGTCGATAGAGATTTATACTGTCCATCATCAACCTGGCTGAACTAGTGTAACGGATTTCAATCATAATAAAAAGGCTTTTAGAGCCTATAAACCCATACGCTGTCCCAGAGGCTAGGTAATAATAAGACCCCGGCAAGGGTCCGAAATAACCTTAAGTAGTTTATTATTATGGTAGTCGTACAGTAAGTAGTACGTAAGTCAGATGTCAAGTGAATCTGGAGTAGAGAGTGGAAGACAACTATGCATTCGAATCCATGGAAAGTATCTAATAGTATGATTCGAGCACGCCACCCGAAACCATCACCCATCCCTCTACTCCTTACTAGTACTACCTTACTTTCTTATCTAATCACTAGACAACTCTTACGTTTAGATCGACCAAAACTCCCCCATAATCAATCCCCATTGAAATTGATTTAGGAAATCGTCATATCGATATGTCTCATATGGAAACACCTCAAACAGGGTCCCTCAAAGACCAAGCCCGTGGGGGGCAGACTGGCAGCGATAAGAAGTCAAAGACCAGGAGACCTGCTAGTAAGAGCCCTTGGTTTCTTGAGAAATCTTCATGAAATACCTCTTTCCCTCAGTACTCACAGTACAATAACAGACACTGCTTTCAGACAACAGCGCTTAAAAGCCTGGCAGTAAGGTCCAATCCAACTATATCGTCGATTATACTTAGATTTGCTAACACATCAAACACCATAGACCAATTCTCACACCGCGAAGCGTTCTGCCCATCTTCTTTGTATTCGGCGTCATATTTGCACCAATCGGTGGCCTTCTCCTATGGGCTAGCTCTCAAGTATGTATTGTGGATTCAAATCTTCATGCCCATTGCATCTGACACAGCGCAATGATAAGGTCCAAGAGATATCTATAGATTATTCAGAATGCGCCGAAAAGGCCCCTTCTTATCCAGCCTCAATTGCAGACCGAGTTAAGTCATCGTTCAAGTCATCGACTGGACAGTCTACCCCAACATGGGAGCGTCGTATAGAGAACGGAACTACCATTTGTCGGCTGAGTTTCGAAGTACCAGACGATCTAGGGCCTCCCGTCTTTCTGTACTATCGTCTTACCAATTTTTACCAGAACCATCGGCGATACGTGAAGTCATTGGATATAGATCAGTTGAAAGGGAAAGCTGTTGACAATAAGACCATCGACGGCGGCTCATGTGATCCCCTTAAACTCGACTCGACTGGAAAGGCGTATTACCCGTGCGGACTCATTGCGAACTCCCAATTCAATGACACAATACACAGCCCTGAACTGCTTAGTGACTTGAACCCAACGGTGTACTTCATGACTAATAAAGGCATCGCCTGGGATAGTGATAAGGAACTTATCAAAACCACACAATACAAGCCATGGGAGGTTGTGCCACCACCGAATTGGCATGACCGTTATCCAAACGGGTATATTGACGGTATCCCTGACCTTCATGAGGACGAAGACTTCATGGTCTGGATGAGAACCGCTGCGCTGCCGGCCTTCAGCAAACTCTCCCGCAGAAATGACACCGTGTCCATGAAAGCTGGCTCTTATCGCCTGGATATTGAAGATCGTTCGTTCGCGCCGTGCAATTCGCCACGCCACTGGCTAATTGACTCTAGGGTTTCCGGTCACTGAGTATGGTGGCACGAAGTCAATTCTCATCTCCACCAGAACTGTCATTGGAGGACAAAATCCTTTCATGGGTATAGCTTATGTCGTCGTTGGCGGAATTTGCGTCCTGCTTGGGGCTCTTTTTACCCTTGCGCACTTAGTACGACCAAGGTATGTGTTAGTGATCCTCTGCTCAACAACTACTAAAGCCTACTGTGTGTAGGAAACTCGGCGATCACACTTACTTGACCTGGAATAATGAACAGGAAAGTACAGTCATTGCTACGGGCAGGAATGACAGATTTGGACCGCATGCCCATTGAAACAGGTTCCACCAGCGAATTGCCCCGTTCCGTACGGTACGATATTGACCGAGTACTGTTGTTTTCTTTTCTTCTGTCATTGCTACTTTTCAGGGTGTTCACATGGATATGGGGTCGAAGCTCTTTTATTGGGATATGGGATTTCACTTCCGTTGCTCTAAACTTTACAGTATGTGTTAATCTCCCTTTTACCAAGATGTTGATTCTGAGGTTGTTTCCTGAATAGGGCATGTATATGTCTTACAGTCCTCTATTGGTGAATATAACAAATTTCGAAATGTGCACACTTCAAGCTGGAACTTCTCCACTTGTCCCTTGCCAGGAACTTCATGTCAGAGACGACATTCCTGTCAAGCTTGGGAATCAACACCAAACATTCCAGTTTCTAATAGCAACAAGATGTACTTTATAAATTCCATACGTTCTTCTCAGACCGAAGCCATGATGCCCCGCAACAAATTTCCTTCAACATGATAATGTCTTCTATTTCCCGCGCTTATATCTTGCTTGTTATAAGCCTCATGTCCAACCACCGAACTCAGTGTTACGCGACCGCTTTACACGGCCGTTCTCTGTGTGCCACTGGTGGTCCAGACTCAACATTGAGGGTTGAGCATGAGAGACTAGGCGCGTTCGAATCCCAAATTGATAGCGTATCTTACGACATGCGAAGAGCATTGGAGCCCATTGAGATAGAGACGTGGTTTCACATTGTAAGTGGCGAGACAGATGCAGATTTAGTAACAGACGAGATGATCACACTTCAGGTCAGTTGACATCATATTTATAGGAGACAGCTGCGTCACTTACTCTTCAGCTAGCTGACAATTTCAAAGCTACATTATTTGCAAAAAGCATATGAAAACGCTGCAATATCCTATCAGTTACAGGGCGTAACGCGTCACGTTAATAAAACTTGGGCGCGCAATGGTGATGACTTGGCCATGAAGAATGCACTTCGCAAGGGAGGTTACAGCACGTTAAATGTCTACTTTCAGACCAACCTACAGCCGCCATCTCCCACAGATGTTGCGAGCGGCACCTCTGAAGTTGACGATCGTCACGCATATAATTCAGACCTTGCAACCCCCAGCGTCCTTGGTTTCTGCACTCTCCCGGATCCGAGCATTAATGCCAGCAGCCCTCGAGTCAGCTACTCCAAAGATGGCTGCAATGTGCTCGCAAAGACTATGCCTGGTGGCCCTATGACTCATTACAATCGGGGTGGTACTGCAATACACGAGATTGGCCACTGGAATGGTCTCTTACATACTTTTGAAGGGGAGTCGTGTTCCGAAGACAATGCAGGTGATTACATCGCAGACACACCGCAGCAATCGGTGCCCACCGATGGATGCCCTTCTCAGAAGGATTCTTGCCCGGAGAGCCCTGGCTTTGACGCCATACATAATTTCATGGACTATTCATCTGATGATTGCTACGCTTCATTTACTTCTAATCAGCTGAAGAGAATGCGAAGCATGTGGTTCTCCGTGAGAAAGGGGAAATAACATCCTGTGGGCCTGGGGCAAATTCTGATATCTATTTTCTATCACCCAATAGTGTTTGTAAATAGCCTTTGGAGACACTATTCTCTGCCTACTATGCGAAATCTTATTGTGTTACTTTCCCCTGTTATTACCCTTATGTATCTCTCATGATTATTAACAGTACTGTCGGAGCCCATGATTACCCAGCACAAGAGATGCACTAGAGCTAACGAAATGACTCCGACCAATACTATCACTAAGCATGAGATTGGCACATGATTCCTCGATTCCTCACCCTAGATACACTGTTAAAGCAATGCCAATAGGCCTATTGAAGAGATTTTATCGAACCAATACCAGGGCCATTATCACGGGAGGTAATTTAGTTGAAAGAGTAGTCAATGAAAGTCCAACCAATGAAATTCTATGACAGCCGAGAGTGTTGTAGTCACAAAGCACACTACCGTTTCCGCTTCTTGCCACGTTCTTCATCATCCAAGCCACTTTCCCTATCCTTCTTCTTAGCTTTCATCTCGAGCTCATCCCAATCTTCACCACTCTCTTCTTCGGCGCTGAAATCACTTGCCTCCGCGCTAGCATCGTCGTCAAATTCGCTATCATCCTCAGAACTCTCGTCTGCCGCCGCCAATTCCGACTCAGAGAGCTCAAATGCAGACTCCTCCTCCTCTTCAGATCCGTCCTCTGAATCAGACTCCGCGGCTAAGAAGGACCAACCTCCATCCGCAAAGAAACCATAAGGATCACTCACAACCGTTTTCATGATTGTTGTCCAGTTGAGGTTTAGAGGTCCCTCGGTGAAAGCAATATCGACGGAATCCAGCCAGTCTTTCACGCCCTCCAAGGACTCCACCGGGATCGTGTTTATATGAACAGGGGGCCGGTGAAAGTCCTTGAATACGAAGACTAGGTCGAAGTTTTTGAGACCAAACTAGAAACCCATCAGCCAAATAAGACCATCAATCATAACAGTAGTAGCACCTTACCTGCACTCTTTCGAGATGGGCAATTTCAATTTCATTCAGGGTGATGACTAGGAATGGGGGTTCCGTCAATTGCACGAGAGCGTCAGTGGTTGGTTGTATCAGAACATTGGAGCGGTTGGGGACGCCAGTAAATCCAATCTCTCGAAATGGTATGTCGACGTCAACGCCCTCGTCTTTCCCGGCATCTGCTATCTTTTCGGCGAATGCCTTAAACTCTCTGTCCAATGCTGCTCTGCGTCGCCGTTCCTCTTGTTCAGCTTCGAATTCTTCTTCATCTCCATAGCGATGTTTGCGTCTGCGATTGCCAGTCTCGTCAAATTGCATCTCGGTGGCCTCTCGGTAAAATTGCACGTCTCTCGTTTTCCTCTTCCCAATCATGATAGGTGTTTTGAGATGGACGTGAATGAGGACAATCAGCTCGTGAGCACACGGTTGGAAAAACAAATGTTTGACATTGCTGAAGAGCACGTCGACGTGCTCATTCCGGAATGGAGACATGTACCTAAGACCGTTCTGATGTATCTCGACCTCACCCGGAACGCGCTTGCCATCCAACGGCGGCCGAAGATAGACGTCAGGTAACTTAACAGGACGGCGGTCTATGAATGATTAGCATTGGCAGCTGATTGGGCGGTGCAAGGATGTACTTCGAATCTCAATGAGCTTGTCTTGCTCTACCACGTCTTCCATCTCTTTCTTTTCTTGCTCCCGCCTCAAAGCATTTTTCCTCAATTCAGTGATGTCCTGGGCGACCTGAGCCAGCCTCTCATTGTCCTTAGAACGAAGAGTCAGATTTCGCAGGAAATGAGCCGACAGATCCTCGAAAGGCTGGTCATCCTTCCTACCAACTCCCTGGCCCGGGGAAAGAAAATTGATGCGGAGGTACGCATATTCACCTTCGTCGCTTTTACTTGCATTCTTGATGGTGTTGATATGGAACGGGACTGGTCGGCCCATAATGGGAACTATTACTGTAGATGCTTTTTGGTCAACATATACCGTAAGGTCTCTCACCTTTGTTGGCAATTGATTGTCCCGCTTGTACGATTCGAACCGTTTGAACTTTTTCTGCGCAACGCCATTGTCGTCTCCGGTAGTTCCGGCAAAACGATCGAGGCCTTCTTTCGTCTTTTTAGTGGCTAGCTCCTTTTGGTGCTCGCGGCGACGCGCCTCAGCACCTTCATTTATTTGAGTTGGCCGTTCCGCTCGAAGCTTCGTTCTTGTGATGTTCCTGCTGGCAATAGCACCTGTTTTCGTTTCCTTTTTCTCCTTGATGGGTTTTTGAGGTTCCTCTTCGTCTCCAAAGTAGAATGATACAGAGTCCATGTCAAGACCTGCATCCTTGGTGAACACATGTGGTCCATTTTCTCCCACACGAACGGTGTCTGTGATGACCATGGAGTAAGTTGAACTCTTGCTTCCTTTCAATTCTGGGTCTTCGACGTCTGTTAGTCCCACTGTGATAGAAAGAGTCATGCCGCTTTTCAGTGTCCTGCTGTTTTTCCCGTTCAGCACCATGTTAGAGTCTCGAAGCTCAATTCCGATGCCAGCACCAACACTCTTGACAAAATGGGACTCAAGCTCAGGTTTCTTTGTTCGGATTAAATTGATCGCCTTGTTGTATAAATCTCTGGCGATTGTGCCGTCGCGGACATCTCTCATAACCACTTCATGTAAAGCCAGAAGAAAGGCATAGTTTGTCTCTTGAGACTTACTCGGATCCACTAAGTAGGTTCGTGCAATCATTGAGCTGTAAGTCTTATAGCGTATCCCGAATCCAGCGATAATAATGCCCGGCTCGAGATTGCTGTTATCAGACACTGCTGTGAGTCTAAGGTCATACTTTCCCCCGCTTTGAATGACGGGACCATAGGCCCAGTCAATTTGTTGAGCATCGAACTCGGCCGGTAGTTTGCCTAGTTTGTTGAAAAACTTAGCGTCGTCGATTTTTGCATCGACACGCGCAGAAAGAGCCTTATGAGTCATTTGCTTTTCTTCGTCGAGAAGGCGCGACATTTCCTCCACGAAGTATTCAGACATCAAGCCACTGCAAGCTCGTGAAGCATTCCTTATGGACACCTGCACAATATTAGCTAACTGTTCTTCCCAGTTTCCCAAACAGTAAGCTCCTTTCAACGCACCAACTCGTCGGTATCCTTCACTGAAAAGGCAGCCGACAGAGCCGGAGAAATGTCAACTTCCTCTATTTCGCCAGATAATGTCGCAAAAGTGCGCTTCCAGTCTTCCGCGAAAGGACCTGCAGTTGTGTCCTTCGGTAAAACACCGACTTTATTCTTTATATGTGCAATGATATTAGTTCCAGGTAACAACACAAAGGCAGTGTCACTTGATAGAGTACTCACACCAGCACTTCTGATGACTTCCGTGCATTTTTCGAAAGACCTCAATTTCCCTTCAGGATCCTTTGTTGTGACCAATATTTCAACTGGGATCTTGCCACCCCTCAGCGGCTCAAGATGCTTGGCTGGGTTGACAACGTCTATTCAGCAAAAAAGCCCCTGTACTTCAGATATAAAGGTTTACCTTTCTTCGCAGTTGTCACAACATAAACAGCTTCCAACGTAAAGACGAGAAGCGTGGCTGGAAACTCATAACCCAGTAACCAGAACTAGTAGTCAACAACCATTATGTTAGTGGCCTATCAAAGAAAGCGATCAATTCAGCAACAGTCCAGTCAAGATTGAACATACATGCATAGCGTTATTCTTCTGAAAAGTATTCGCCTCGTCGGTTTTACCCATCAAGATAATAATCGAGCCAACACCACCAAATGTGGGGTGATTTGAGCGTTTATCTGCTCTCCATGCTGCGTAGAAGCTTGACAATCGATTGAAAAACAAAGTCTTGTCTATCACAATCTCTTCAGCCATGATCTGATAACGTTGAAAGTGAGATTGTCGTGCAGGGTGTGCTGAGTCTGCTTGAAGAACTTGAATCGCACAAGACTCCTCAAGACTTTCTGATCGCCTTAAGTAGGGGTTGGGTTACGCATATATGGCAAACACAAGTTCGAGGATGTGATGGTGCGCAAGAGTATGTAAGGATGGAGAAAGTGAAATGTGAAGTCGTACTCACGCGAGGCTGGTGCTACGCGTTTTCCTATGTTTGAGCAGTTTGCTTCTTTTGCATGGTATGCTAACTGTCAGTAAGACTCTTGGTAGGTATTAAATAAAGTTTTAATAATAATCAATAATAAATAATACAAGTAAACACTTACTTTATTATTATTGCCTTTCAGATTTGCAGCATTACAAGATATATTTTTTCGCTCTTCTCTTACCTATTATGATGTCTACCTAGGTATCATGCCTCCTTTTCTGAAATGGTGATTCAGCCTTGATAATCTCAATGTTTCTTCACTTATCCTTCATCTCGATTGTTTTTTGAATCTTCCCTCTACCTCTCTATATGCGAGGACTGTTAAAATATCCAGATACGCAACTGATAATTACTCTCTTCGCAAACTTTTGTGATCTGAAGCATATACATCCTGATGGAGAAGGGCGCGCTCAATTATCCGCATAATGTCAACTGAGGATACCATTTCCCTTGAGGATCAAGTACGCTTTGATGACAATGTCTCTGGCCCAGAGTCCAGCAAGTCTACTCGAAGAAACACTCGGAATGATGCAGCCACTGGCGCTTCGGCAGCTGGTGTTCGTGCAGTCAGTGCGCAGATGGTTGCTTTCTACTTCAGAGCTCCCGTCAAGGCATTTTTTCGCACCCGGGTTGAGTATGCACTCCCTCTCGCTACTCAGACTGAGGTTTGTTGACGCACGTCCAGTTATATGGTCCGTATACCAGTCGAAACACTTCCCTGACTTCTTTTGTCCGTATTTCTTAGGACACCTGTACTCATCGTCCTCGACATGAGCTAATGATTGTTCCTCTCGAAACGCTCCCGTTAGGCGTTCGCAAGAGCTGTCAGCCCTCATTCCGCTGAAAAGCGTTGGTCATTACATACAACAACACCTGGTCTTCTCGTCCATGCCGTTC